TCTCAAATCCTTCCTAACCTGAGCACCCCATCTCTCCCCGCAGCGTCCCCAGCAGCGCCCCCTCGCAGCCCTTCCACGGGATGATGGACCGCGTTCCCAACGAGCCGTCGTACCGAGCCCCTCTGGAGAAGCTCTTCTACCTCCCCCACGTGTGCAGCTACGCGTGCCTGGCGCGGGTGCGGCCGGTGCGCAGCGATCAGTACCGCAGCCGCAACCCGCTGCTCATCCCGCTGCTCTACGACTTCCGCCGCATGACGGCGCGGCGCCGCGTCAACCGCAAGATGGGCTTCCACGTGCTCTACAAAACGCCCTGCGGGCTCTGCCTGCGCTCCATGCACGAGATCGAGCGCTACCTCTTCGAGACGGACTGCGACTTCTTGTTCCTGGAGATGTTCTGCCTGGATCCCTACGTGCTGGTGGATCGCAAGTTCCAGCCCTACAAGCCCTACTACTACATCGCGGACATCACCAAGGGCAAGGAGGACGTGCCCCTGTCGTGCGTCAACGAGATCGACAGCACGCCGCCGCCGCAGGTGGCCTACAGCAAGGAGAGGATCCCCGGCAAAGGGGTGTACATCAACACCAGCTGGGAGTTCCTCGTGGGCTGTGACTGCAAGGATGGCTGCAGGGACAAGTAGGTGGCTGCTGCCGGGTGAGGGGACACCTGGGCTTTAAAGCCTTGCAGGTTTCGTGGTTTGGTGTTGTAATCTTTGCTGCAGTGTTGTTCTTGCCTCTCTGCTGGGGCTCTTCTCCATTCTCTGCAGCACAGTCCTTCCTGTCTTCTCAGGGGCTCTTCTTAGGCTCTCGACCCACCCCTGTTTATCTCAGTTACCTTCACGAGCTGCAGCTGCTGCCCAACTAAGGACCCTGCAGCTGCAGCTCGTTTGGAGCAACTCGGACTCACCCAGGTCTTACAATACAACATATATTCAGACCTCCACATTGACACACACAGATCTTACAACACAACATATATTCAGACCTCCACATTGACACACTCAGATCTTACAACACAACATATATTCAGACCCCCACAGTTTGGGAGGGACATTAAAAGCCATCCAGTTCCAGCTCCTGACATGGGCAGGGACACCTTCTGCTATCCCAGGTTGCTCCAAGCCCCGTCCAGCCTGGCCTTGGACACTTCCAGGCATGAGAAATCCACAGCTTCTCTTGGAGTGGAGTGGAATCAAACTGCTTCTCCTGGTTTGATTCCAGGTCAAACCCTTGCTGCCCATCTCTGCCTAAAGTGATTTATTCTCCTGTTTCCAGACTGATCTTGTGGGTTTTCCTGTGTCTCCCTGCAGATCCAAGTGTGCCTGTCACCAGCTCACCATCCAGGCCAGCGGCTGCACCCCCGGAGGGCAAATCAACCCCAACTCGGGCTACCAGCACAAGCGGCTGGAGGAATGTCTTCCAACAGGGTGAGCACAGCCCCAGCTCCTTTGAGAGGGAGTTGATCCTGGGTATCCCAGTGTAGATGTGACCACCTACCTCTGGTCTTGGTTCTTCTGCCAGCTGTGGAATGGTTTGGGTTGGAAGGGGCCTTGAGGATCATCCAGAACATGAGTTGTGATCCTCCGGCATCTCTGTGCATAACCCCAGCCCTGCCAACAGCCACAGACTTTGGGATGTTTCTTCATCCTGAAAGTTGTCATCCTTCTCCTTTTTCTTCCAGTGTTTACGAGTGCAACAAGAGGTGCAAGTGCAACGTGAACATGTGCACCAACCGCCTGGTGCAGCACGGCCTCCAGGTGCGGCTGCAGCTCTTCAAGACCCAGAACAAAGGGTGGGGCATTCGCTGCCTCGACGACATCGCCAAGGGCTCCTTTGTCTGCATCTACGCAGGTGGGAGCTCACCTGGCACGTGGAAAACTCTGCTGTGGGGAGAGAGGGGTAGCCAGAGATGGGGATGGAGCTGGGGAAGGGCCTGGAGAACTCCTGGGGAAGCTGGGGGAGCTCATCCTGGAGAAAAGGAGGCTCAAGCGGGACCTTTTGGCCTTCTCCAATGCCCTGGGGAGGTTGAAGTTGCACATTCAGGAAAATTTCTTCCTGGGAATGGGGGTCAGGCTGCCATGGGAGGTGGTAGAGTCACTGTCCCTGAAAGTGCTCAAAAGCACAAGGATGTGGCACTTGGGGACATGGCTCAGTGCTGGGGGCAACAGAGGGACTCAGAAGCTCTTCCAACCTCAGTGATTCCACAGTGCAGCAGAAGGGGTGTAAAGCTCCTGCCACACCCATTTTGGGGGGAAAGCTGAGCTGATGAGCTTGCCCAATGCTGCAAGAACCCTTGTGGTGGCAGTGCCAGTGTCACAAGATGTCCCCCGGGCTGTCCT